CTCTATCCCTGGAGTTAGGTGTGAAGCCTTACCCCAAATACATGAACAGAGGATGAGGCAGAAGTTTCCAAGGAAAGGAAAAACCAAGGTGCTCCTATAGATGAAGGATAACTAGTTGTTAGGTAGACAGAATATCAGAAGTCACCACACTTTTCCTGTTCTGTGAGTCAATACAGTCCATTTTTTGCTTAACCTGGTTAAAAAGGGTGTGTCCTTTGCAACAGTAAATCTTTAACCAATCTGGATGGATAAAAATTTAACTGGCAGAAAATGAGAAGGACAAGCAATTTAGTTAAAAGGTCTAGGATAGGCATGGACACAGAGGCAGAAAAGAGCAGCAGCCACCCAGGGGAATTAAGAACATGAAAGAAGGCTGGCAATATAGCTTGGTCAGATTATGGAAAGTCTTAAAAGTCTGTTTATAGAGTGTACAGTTTTTAAAGCTGCACTGTTTCAGTTACTTTCAGGTCTCTGGGAAGATGAAGACAATTATTTTTCCCCTCTGATTCAGAAGAAGTGTATTTTGAAGTAGGGCTGCCTTCAGATATTCCAGTGAAATAAAAGCCAAGTAAACAATTATTTTTTTAACATTACACCATTAGCATACTTAATAACTGCACCTACCCGTATTCATCAGGGGAAGTTCCTAACGCCTTTCCTTAGTAACAAAGCCAGTCTTGATCCTCAGTGGCTGGGAATCTGCAGCTGCACGCTTGCCTCCATCCTCCCACCCAATCACCAAGGACATAGACAGGTACCAGAAACCATGTGGAATAAAGATGGGGTTGAACTTTGTCATATCATGAGTGAGGAAACCAACCCACTTGCATAACTCATAACATTCTGGAAACTTATTAAATTCTGCCACACCATATAAAAATCCATTTCTAATACCTGACGTGGGGAGCCAATGAAGCTTCTTAGGTATGCAGCATTTCTAATTGTTTCTGTAGAACTGAGGCTCCTCAGGAAGATAGGTAGTATGCAAAGATTTTTAATTTATGGACAAATACATTTGTGAATCATTGGTTAACATGAAGTTACACAGGTTTCCTTTTCTAAAGGAATTATCAGACCCTTTAACATGTTATTACACATTATGACACACTAAGAAGGTGATAAAACATGCATTTGTCAATTTTATTGACCTCGCCTTTTTTCCAAAGAGTATCTTGTATTTCTAGTAGAGGTTCTATGGAATATACTATGGGAAACACTGAAAGAATTTATGGTACTGTAAAGTTATAGTTTAACTATGCAATCAGAGAGATATGCTTTGGGCTTATTGATCTGGAGCTTTATACATTTAGGATGCAGAGAGACAGAAGCAAACAAAACAGAATAGATGTCCAGGTAAATACAGTCCAGGTGATGAAAGTATGTATGGAAACATAACATAAATACACCGTGAAGATAAAATGAGCAGGACTTTGCAATCGAATTGACACAGGCGATAAAGATAGGAAATAGGTGGTATGAAGTCGTAGATGCTCAAACTTACACATTTGGTTGGCTAGGAAAATGAGAGTACTTTTCATGGAAATTGGGAAGACAAAAGCTGCACCTAAGTGGGATCTAGATAAGTTCATCAAAGGAATAAAAGACACAATTTTGTTGGAAATACAGTTAAGCCTCACCATTAAGTCTACCTACTCTTCCCTCCCATAGGACTTTCCTCCTTTTCTTTCTTTTCGTCCTGCTGAGTTACCCCTCTTAGAATTAGGCTTAGCACCAAATCTGGCTATTAAGGGAAAATCTCCTTGGCCTCCTTTTATTCTATACCCCAAAAGGGCATTCTTTTAAAGAGTTTTAGAGCTGATGAATAGAGGAAGTAAATATACTAATAGGACTTCCCTTTGATACATACTAGTCAGTTGCTTAGTATGATATAAAAAACAATGGCCAATTAGAACAAAAAGGAAGTTACCATGGCTTTTAAAAAACTTATGGAAGTATTAATTTGGGGGACTATTTTTTGTCTTAGAAAATTCATCTATTTTAGAATGACAACATGTTATACTTAAGCAGTGATATTAAATTAAAAGTAATTTTGTACACTAACATATGGATTTTTAATAATATGGACTACTCTTGGGAAAACTTAGTTGTTTCATTTAAAGAGGTTTATGTTGGTCCTTGCTTCCACAATACAGTCTTTGTGACTCTAGGCAGATGCTGTAACTTGGACACCAGTGCAGATGTTAAGAATAAGGAGAATTTAGACATCCATCGGCTCAGATTTAAAATTATGGAGCATCGGGACTTCCCTGGCGGCCCAGTGGTTAAGATACCATACTCTCACTGTAGGGGGCGAGGGCTCCATCCCAGTCCAGGGCACTAAGATCCCACATGCCGCGTGGTGCAGCCAAAAAAAATAAAATGATGGAGCATTAATGTGAACAAGGTTCTCCTCTTATCAAATAAATTTTTTTCTTATCATTTCCTTTCTGGCACATATACACTGTTTATTATTCAATCAAAGCCCTACTCCTGATGACCCTATGTGAGAACAAACAGAAATCAAGTCACTCCCACTGGATCCTTTTCCTCTTGTGTGCTTTTGTGCATGTTTATGCCAAACTTTTGCTCCTTTGTTTACAAATCTCAGCCTTCTTTCCCTGAAGCTAAGGAATATGGCTTCAAAGGTGTATTTAATGTTGTACCATCTCCTAGGGTGATATGATCCAATGTGGCTGTCTAGGGCAGCCCCTATTTATGCCTATTGCCTAAGCATAATTAATTGATAGCCCCCCTTCCCCTCTCAAGTGCCCTGGTTTGTACAGTAAATATGGTCATCCTATGTATTGGATGTATACATCCTATACAAAAATGTATACCTCATTTTTCACTTCTCACCCCCCCAATTCTCCATTTTCAATTTTAATCAAGTTTATGATTTAAAGTATAGAATTAAAGGTTAAATGGGTAAGAACTGAAGAAGTCATCTATGACTTTTCATCTTATAAAATAAGAAGTCTTATTTCATACTTGACAGAATTTAGCCTCTATGTGAACTTTGGAGAGTTAATTTATTACCCTGTGAGGTGGTATTTTCCACCATCAGGCACCTCTAAGTTTTATGAAAATCCTTCTTACCTTCAGCCTTAATTTTATTATTCTTTCCCAATCTAAAATTCTTAGTATGTAGGTTTGGGATTCTTTCTCAACCACACCCAGCCTAAGGAATCCATATATTATGAATTAACTTCTTTTCAGATATCTATTGATAGAATAGCATTAGTTAGCTACTATCTTTGCAAGAATTGAGAAAATAGTCACTCAAGTCATTTTTGCTGTTTCGTGATTCAAATGAGGAACCTGGGTTGAATGGCTACAAGGCTCTATCTAGCTGTATGACCTTGGAAAGTTTACTTCATGTCTTTGTGCCTTGGTTTCTTGGCAAAAAAATGTAAGTATAATACTTTTGTTATGGGCTGTTGAGAGAATTAGATGACATACATAAAGCTCCATAAGAGCAGAGACCTTACCTATCTTGTTCACCACTTTATTCTAAGTGCCTAACATAGTTACTAGCAGGCACAGTTACTAGCAGGCACAGAGTAAGTGCTCAATAAATATCTGAATAAACAATGAATAATCGCCTCTAGCACATTGCCTTGCACATATTACACATAGTTACTATCCTTTCAAACGATTTTCTTACGACCTGGTTTCCAGACCTCTCACTGTATTGATCACTCTTACAGAAGCTCTATGGTTTGTCAATATTCTTCTTAAAATGTATTTCTCACAATTCAATTGTTTGGTGTGTGGTAATTTTGCTTTATCTGAACGTAATTACAGACCAGAGTCCGCTGGGAAAAAGCTACACTGCCTGCTTACATAAAGAGTTGCCACTTACAAAACCCATTAAATTTCTCCCAATACCACTCTTTAAACCTTGGAGAGTGTATGGTTAAGACAAAATTATGAGCAGATAAGGAGCGATCAGCCAGATAAGGGAAGAACCAGGATAGTGCAGTATTACGGAGAGCCATGGCAACCAAGGTTTATTTTCATCACTGCACCTAACGAACAGTCCAGTGTGGTGATTTATTAGCCTCTCCATCTTGAGTACACTCCTTGATCTCCTTGATAGCAGGGCTATGTAAAGTTCATCCACAGTGCTTAGCACTGAGAAGATCTTCAAATACTATTTAATAGTGGAATGGCAAAAGACAAATGAGAAAGTTTAAGGAAGATGCTAGAGTGAACAGATGAGCAGCTTCCTAAGAGGAAACTGTAAGATGAAGGTTTCCAATTTTTGTGTAGTTTGGGACAAGATTCAGATTAAGGAAGCTGGGATTGAATGTGAGCAATAAAGTGACAAATATAAGTGTAAAAATTCATTTGGAACTTTTGGCAAATAAAGAAATGTAAATTGGTTTAATAATTTGAGAGAGTAGCAAGGTTTAGGTTTTGCTTTTTTTGTTTTAGTAGAGACTGAAGTTTGTAGATATTCCTTAAGAAAAAGTGGAGGAGGGGAATGGAAGAAGTCTTAAGGTCAAGATGATAGAAGTGTTGGGCCATAGGTGGGAGGATACGCCACAGTAATAAACCAACAGAAGTAAAGGCAAAGGGAATAATCTGAGGTAGAAAGGTAGAGGTATGTAAGGAAACTCGGAATTATAAATTATAAAGTAGGAGAATCTGCCAGGGAGGAGGTGTAAGACTTGTGGAAAGCAAGACAAATTTGGATCCATTGTTGGGAGGATAAAAGGATTACTGACCTCTGGGAAGGACGATCCCATCCTTTGTGACTACCTCAAAAAAATCTCTGCTGCTCCTCCCTTCCGATCTAATTATCATAGCGGTTTAAAACCATCTGAATCAAGTAACTGTAAACACTTTGCGCTAGGCTAGAGTAACAGAACTACCACGCATTTTTATATTAAACTGAAAAGACGTCCCTCTACAAAAAAGACTTCGGTTGCACCAATTAAGTATTTTAGAGAAGCCTTGTTTACAAGCTAATTGAGGGGCGGAGAGAGGTATTCATTTTAAGCTGAAAGACGGGCTGCGCTAACACCTCCAAGTGCCACCAGACGCTGTTGCAGGACACTTCTTAGGAGGTCGAGTTTAACCGCAGGGCCCGGGTAAGGTGAGAATCGGGCTTGGCTGCTTCGGCTCCGCGCCTCCTGCTCCCTTCCCTCTATAAAGCGGGTCCGGCTCCCGCCGCCACCAGGCGCCCGACGGCTCTCGGTCCGGAAGTTCAGCCGCACAGTGGACCGAAGAATAGGTTCTGGAAGAATCTCCTCGGGACTGGTAACGAGGAAGCTGTCTCCAGAGACCATCGCCAACGCTAAGGCCGACAAGCTGAGGTCGCAGTGGGAAGAGCG